ATTTATTGCGTCGCACAATTAGAAGCGATTTTTTTTTGACCTGTGGTCCCTGCAGACAGAGTGTATTACTTTTCTTATGAATATGATATGAACAAACACGTTCCGTAGTTCACTTCCGCTTTTTTTTAAGGACCATTATTTGTAGAATTGGTCTGGATTTCAGTGGTTTTTTTTGTAGGTGAGTAAAATGAATTATGGCATGTAGAATAAAATTTTTTTAAAAACGTAACGTCTACTTATAAAAGATGTGATCTGATCTTTTTTTCTTTCAATTAAAAAAACAATGTAATGAATAAAGTATCTTTTTTTTTTATTAGTTTCTACTTATACAGTAAGACCAGTATTGCATGTTTTTTTGAGCTTAGTACCTCTACTATCAACGTTTTTGTTGTCCACTTTTTTTATTTCTGGTTGCCATGGAAAGCAATCAAAAACACGCATATTTTTTTATGCGATCCATCGCCAACGGCGTACGAGCTAGTTCATTGTTTTTTTCTTCATAATATTACATTTATTACGATATAAGTGGTTGTATTTTTTTTTGGCGGTTGATATGATATGATTTCATTGATTGTTTATTTTTTTTTTGAAGCGAACTATCTTCTTGGTAATTATACTGATAGTAATTTTTTTATTAAATGTCTTCTCACTGCAATGTAAGTAGCTGAAATTTTTTTTTCTGTACATTTGGACCCACTGTATGTGCAAGCGATATGATTTTTTTTCAGCACCTTACCATTTTATCATAGTTTGCTTAAAAGAACTTTTTTTGACAGGATAGACGACTCAGTGACTTAATTCACAAATTGTTTTTTTTAATTTGAAGCACTTTTCAAACACTCTCGGAAACCATTAATTTTTTTTTAGTTTTTGTATCTAGACCCTCTCCCAATCTCCTCCCTTTTTTTTACCCCCTAGAGATAGGAAAAAGAAATGAAATGCACGTTTTTTTTTTAGATGACCATTGTGGAGAGAGATTAATCAAAATACGCGGTTTTTTTGTCGGAGGAAAAATCTCGCAACGAGGCATGTGGCCTTGGTTTTTTTGTATCTACAAAAAACAAGGTGGTAAGAAAATCCTTACTATTTTTTTTCATATCGTATCATATCATATCATATCTTTTTAAGGAGGTTTTTTTCAAAGTATCTCTTCTGGCCTGGAATGTGTCATCTTATCTATCTTTTTTCACATTATCATCAGTTTCAGAATGGAAGTTCTTGTGTGGTGGTGCGTTGGTATCTCCACAATGGGTTCTTACCGCTGCACATTGCTTTTATGTTGGTAAAAATACTACAAATAGGGTTTGGTTTGAAAATTTTTTTAAACCACTCGGAAAGTAAGTTAAACTGACTATTTTACAATTTTTTTGTCAATTGTTGAAGATTGAGTATCAAGATGATTTTTGTCTTTTTTTTAAAATCAAAGTTGGTGATCATGAATTAAGAAGCTATGATTTTTTTGAACAAGAACATCAATTCCAAGAAATATTTGTACATCCCTTTTTTTGGCATGATCCCATCTATGAGAACGATATCGCTCTAGTTATTTTTTTCCGTGAAGTCATTCTCGGCCCGTATGTACGCACTGTTTGTTTTTTTGGACCTGACTTGGACCTTGCCAAACCAGGAACAGCAGGA